GCTTCAGTTGGTTCAGGGGGTACACATGACAGGCGCACATGTCACGGAGCTGCATGGTGATCCTGCCCTTCGGGGTGATGGGAGTCACAGTGCCTTCTCCAAACTCCTTGCGCATGACTTGTCCTTCCAGGTGCAACCGACTGTCAATGCCTCTGCCCACGGCCAGGACCGCCATGAAGCCCCCCACCTCTGGGTCCTCAGAATCAGGAAACTAGCCCTCCCACAGGGCCTAGCACAGACAGACAGCAAGCTTGGGGAGCGGAGTCCAGGGTGCTGCCTGCTTCTTACACTTAAAATTAAGCTGAATTCATTTCTAGGTTAGTTTCTTCATCCTTTTTTTCCAGGAACAAAGTATTTAAGAATATACATTTGAATAAAATGCAGTGTTTAAGGGGAGAAGGTAGAGCTAAAGTGCGAGAGCACATGCTTGGCACGCACAAGGTCCTGGGTTCAATCCCCAGTACTTCCATCAAAAAACAAAATAAATAAACAAACCTAATTACATACCTCCTGAAAAAAAACCCCATAAAACCCCAAAAATAAACAGAGCCTTTAAAAAGGGAATTTCAAAGGGAAATCAACATCCTACAGGGAAACCCAAGCAGAGGTGAAAGGCACGCGGCCCCTACCCCCTCGGCCGGCTTCCTGGCACCCCCGCCTGCTGGGGGGCCTGCCAGAGCCAGGCGGTGCTGCTGGGCACCCACCTTCTACAAAGAAGCACTCGGCACAACCTTTGCTTTTAATTGACCTCCATAACATTATTTTCAAGGAGAAACTACTTCACAGCTATGTTACAATTTCACTGATTCAGTGGGAGAGGAACAGGAGACTTTCAAACCAGCTCAAAGGACTTTCTTTTGTCTTTTTGTTTTTTTGTGTGAGGGGAAGTAATTACGTTGATATATAAAATAAAAATATGAAGGCACTGGGGATTAAACCCTGGACTTTGTGCATGCTAGGCACCCACTCTACCACTGAGCTCTACCCTCCCAAGGGACACTTTACATGTTAAAAATCTCTAAAGCATGTGTAGTAACTCAAATTCTTTAAGGAATTTCATCCACTCACCCTTCCTGTGCAGTAGGGAGACAACTCACAATTCCAACAGCAGTTCTCTGTGAGGAAACTTCCTACTGGTTTGAAATCTCACGTTTTAAACATCCTCCATGAGCTCATTCATATTTAATCTGTGTCCTAAATTCCCAGGCCAAGGCTAAGAAGTCTGCAAAGCAGAATGAGAGTAAGAGGTTTCCATGAGGTTTATCCAACTTGACTCTGACCTGACCATGACCCTGTCTGCTCCACCCGGGGCCCCACTCGGGCACCCGGGGCTTCTGCTCCCTCCTGGCTGGCAGTGACCCTGGGGAGGGGCGGCATCCCGTGACCTGCTCAGACCCCTGGACCAGCTGCTCTTCCCCAGCTCCCACGGCCCAGCCCTCCTGCTCTCCTGGCTTCCAGGGACA